GCAAAGATTTTCTCCAACCTGATTTAATTCATTCTAATTATAGATTAAACCTGAGACGTTTATTCTCATTCTACTCAGCAATCTGATGAAAATCTCTGTTTACATGAACACTACGAGTAATCCGATCCAAAATTACGTGCATGCGTAGAGAACCACCTACTGTAAATGTTACCATGACAACCAGCATCACGTCCAGTCAGAGTGAGATGAGCAGCAGTGAGCAGCGCTTGTGTTTTTAATCACTTTAAAATGATGTCAGACTCAGGAAAACGTCCTTCACATGTCCTTATTAAAGAAGGCCGAGAGGAAGACGTCGTGTTCTGAGACACATAAGCTGGACGTCCGTCCCACCGCCGTCTTTTAAAGATCAGAGCATAAACTATTTACAGGATTACCCACCTCGTTCAATCGGATAGGAACTGTATTCCGAATGGCCTCAATCAGACTAGACTATTCCGACAGAGGTGTATAAGTGGACATATTCTATTTCAATTGAGCTATTAGTCAGATTATAAACAGATTATTAGGCTGCATGCAAACGTGGCTACTGTAAATCACAAAAAAGGAAGTTATTCAAAGTGTTTTAACTTTATTCCACAGTGTTGCTGGAACTTCACTGCCTTCACTCCTATATTTCACTACTGATTATCCAGCACTGTTTATCTGAGTTTGGCTCAAGTTACACAAATAAAGTTTCTGCCACAATTATGCTGTAGTGCAGGCCATCACAGTCCAGTAAAGTGACCAAGGGGTAAAAGGTCATCCTCTCTGAATGCAGTGTCCAGCTGGAGTCTGAGGCTCAGTGATCAACTTCGATCAGAGGAGCTTCTAACAGGCCTGGGGACACACAGCTGCCCAGTTCAAAGGTCATTCTACTCACATACAATTGCTTTCAGAGACCTGCATCAACGTATCAAAGACCCTTTCAGAGATCAATGAAGTGAGTGACAATAACATGCTGGAGAGATGCAGCACCCCATTGGTTATCTTCTTTATTATGGTTCTGTATTAATTATTCTGTGTAGGAATTTACAATGATATCAGAATCATATCAGTATCGGCAGCTATCAGCTTAAAATTATCACCACTGGACAGATGTGTGGATGTTTAGATGGCCGATTATGTATTCATTGTATTCTGGAAGAGCAGAATGTTTATTGGTGCTGAGTTAGAGCACTAAAATTAAAGCATTTTGTTAATTTTACTGTAATTTTACTGTAATCCTACAGAAATGACTGTCATAGTTATCTGTTAATAAGTACATTTAGCCCCAGTATCTACATTTTATAAATGTTTATGTAGCACACACCATTACAGGCAAATATGTACATCAGCATTGTTCCCATACCTGTCCATCCTTTGTGTTTATATATATATATATATATATATATAGTATTTTTTTCTGCTACCACTCATTGAATGGTGGTTTTCCTAAAATACAATCAACCCAATGACATATAAAATCAGGCCCTAGAGCTGGTAAGCGTTCATGCCCACATTGGTCAGTAAAATAGGTCAGTATGTGGAACTCAAGCTTTGCATGTGCTACTTTGTTTCCTATCACTGTATAAAAGAAGCTCCAAGCTGCATTTATTGTCGCACTGAGAGTTTCAAAGCACATATTCAGAACCATTCACAACACTATGGAAATGACTCGTTGATATGTTTCATCAGAGCAACAATAAAAGTACAGAAATATATTCATATTCATATGTTTACATCATATAATGGCCTATCACCCATTTTGCATGCCAGTCAAACGGCAACTAGGCGATTCTTGTTCACTTTAAGGGACAAAATACACATGACTCTCTGACGACTGGCAGACGTCTGGCTTGTGAGACTAATGACTAACAGCATGTGAAACATGAGACGGAGAAGAGAGCCTTATTTAAGACACTCATTTTTTCAGGTTATTTCTGAGGAGATTGGATGTAAGATTGTTCACTTACATAAAAAGAGGAAAGCCTATAAAAACAACAGGAGTTTCCAAAACTGCAGTTTAAAAAATTATTAAAAGCTACAGAGAGAATGTGACTCCTAACAACCACCTGGAAGACCTGGTCGACCTCAAAACTGCCCCCATCAGATAAACAGCACTTAAAGCTTTCGTCTCTGAGAGAGAGGAGAAAATCAAGCTGCTTCAGATCTGAAAACATCCACAGGTGTTTCTGTCCATCCTTCCACTGTGAGAAGACAACTCAGCGCTGTGGGTCTGAAAGGATGTGTAGCTGATCAAGAAGAACCTCACTGAAAAAAGGAGACGGACACACCAAACAAAGAAGCTGAACAACGGACTGACCACCCCAGAGTCCAGACCTCAACACCACTGAATGGGTTTCCAACTTCTAAGACTGAGCTTTGGAGGAAAGATATCCCTGAAAAACTGGAAGGGAGTCTCCTGAAAAGAATGGAAGCTGGAATAAAGTTGAAGAAATAGATATTATATTTCATTGTGGAGACTTTTGTGTAATTTTATGTTAAACAAATGTTTCCTGCTGTTTTGACTGGAAATGAAATGGAAGAAGGGGTGGTCTGTGACTTTTGCACTGTACTGTAAACTAATACTCAGCACAGCCCCATCAAAGTCAGGCAGAAGCCACAAACCCCCCATCTCAGTGGGACGTCCCGTCACCCTGCCGCTCTGCACTGATCCTTAATTAAAGCCACAGTGCTGAGGGCTGGCGGAGCAGCGGGGTGGGGATGAGCCTCAGACTCTACAGCACAGCCAGACTACACATACGCGTACACAGTGCTGCATCATCACTCACCAACAACGAACCGACGGCCTTTTAAAGCCCATTAAAAAACAGCCAGCTCAGACTATTAGCTTTATTTAACAAGTGGAAACTCCCCCGACACTCCTGCCACGTTTCACACATATCCACACAGTCCAAAGCTTGAACCACACACAGCACGCGAGGAGCCGAGTTTCTGGGCGAGAAAACACCAAATAACCAGACATTCCTGGAGACTGCATCGTGTGATCAGTGTTGGAATTAACCCTTAGAAGGCGACAATAAAAGCCAGGCTGTAATTTATTAAGGCTGTCAGACATCTAAAAGAATGAATTGAAGTTAATCACATTACTTTGTGTGGTTAATTGTGATTTATCACAAGTATTATTTGCCCAAACCCTAAAGAGAGACTTTGTTCCAAAAATGTTGTGTATTTTGTTGTATCTGTATACAAATAATCTTATTTATTACTTTCAATAATTTCAATAACATTATTTTGATTGCATTTTGAATTGACTTCACACAAACCTGAACTTGATGTCCACAGAATTAACACAGTTTCCCATTTTCAGCACCGACGTCCAGTGAGAGATGAGCGATTATATCAAAAATATCACATATACAATCATATTTGTACCTATTATGTATAGGTCATCACTAAATGAGTTCAAACTGTGGCCCCACCCTAAAAACTCTAAAAAAAAACAATGAAGTATTCAGACCTTATCCAAAGAATATGTCCTGATCTATTCAGACTCAAGGCATTAATAGAGATAGTAATAAGCTAAACATATACAAATTAGGTGAGTTTGGCTGGCCCAAACCCCTAACCCCCAAATTTACACTTGTGAAAGTAATTCTTATGTTTTTTAATATCTTTTTGTTTTCTTTTAAAGTGAAGTTGAGATCTTTTTCAAGAGTTAAATTTTTGAATTAAAAAAGCTATGAAAAAGTGCTGCCCTGTGTTTTCTTGTCACTACACAGTTCTTAGTTTTAGTCCTTAGCAAGTAAATGTGTCCCAAAGTCTAAAAATCAGTGTGGAACAGTAAGAATAGTCACTACCGAAACACAGATTTTCTGCAGTTCAGTACTTTTTGTGTTTTAATGAAAAATGCGATGATTTTAAGTGTGTAAAACTGCTCAAGGCTGTGTTTGCTGGTCATGCACTGGCTGTGTTTTTGAGCTCAAAATGAGCAAAAATTGTCAGTACCGAAAAAGTCCCTAGGAAAACTACATTTTTTGGAGTGTTATGTTTGGTTTAGTAATAACAGAATGTAACGTTCAATAATTTGTCTTAATAAAATAATCATAACTACGGTATAGGGTCACTCAAAGCAAAAGGATTTTAATCTAAAGTCTAAGATCATTTAAAAGTCTGAAAAGTGTTTTGATCACTGACTTTTTGTAGCCTCTCACTCTCGTTCATACAGCATAGGGATTCATGTTACAGCAGAGGCTCCTGAGTGGAACTGGAGCTTCTTTTGTTGGTTTGCTGCTCGTTGATTTACTCATAGTTCTCCTGTAAGCTCTGTGCAGTGAAGGCCTCCTCCACTGCTGATATTACTGACACTGCTGCATCAGTGCTGTGCTCTGTAAATGATACTCCAGACTCAATGTCCTTCGGTGATAAACAAATTCACCGTGGCTTTAGCTGGAAATAACACTGGTATTAGCAACAGAGCCATCAATGAAACCTTCCCTCCAAAAGCTGTATTGGAAAGCGAGGGCTACAGCTGTGAAGCCAACTGTGTGCTAAAGCCAGGCTTCAACCTGCACCACTACACACAGTCTGAAGTGTCAAACAAAGAAAATACATTAAAAAAGTTTGATACTACTAAATTTTATATGAACTATTTCTGACGCATAGCTCACTGACACAATCAGAGAAACAGTGTGGAAGCGCAGATTATACCCTTTCAAGCACATTTGTGTTTGTAAGTGGAAGAGGAGATATTTTATTATGATTTGAATTTGATGAAAAGTCACTGTTTTTCACATTTAAATATTTAAATAAATGGAAAAAAAGCCAGACGTGCAAACTACATGACCATACAGACTGCAAATCACCATGAATCTAATTCATTACATAACTAACAACATAATTGTATAATTATATTTAATAACAGCAAATAAAAGCTGTAGAGTTAAATCCTGCTGATCTCCAGGTTGAGCACCCAGGCCAACACATCCGTAAGCTACAATGTCCACTGTTCACTGTGGTTCCCATCATCCAAGCTTTAAGGGAAGCTAAAGGGGGCTTACCTTGCCGAAATCCCGCACATCAAACAGGTCAAAGGCCTCAAACAGCTCACTCTTCTTCATACTGAACACCTCAGAACAGGCACCCAGGAACGTCCTGATGTTCTTCAAGCATAGGAACTAGAAAGAAAGACCAGTGACACAGATTTTAGTGAATGCATCATTATTGTTAATCATCAGCTTTTAGCAACAGCAAACAGGAACCAGTAACAGAAAATTCAGGCAATGCATTTCAGTACAAACTGTTAGCTTTAGCAAAAACTTTGAACTCTTAGCATTTCTGCTAATGCATTTTAGCTTTAGTTCTACCTTTAAAGTTGTAGAAAAGGGGTGCTGAACGTTCTTGTGTTGGGGGCCAAAGCTCATAAACAATTATATGATGAGCACTCTTTTAGAAAAAGAGGTACAGACTGTCACTGGCGCAGTAAAACCTCCTGTCACTGAAAACTTAGAACTCTTAGCAACATAAAAACTACTGACACTGCTGTTTTTTCTGATGCATTTTAGTACTTTTAGTTCTAGCTTTAAAATTTTATTTTTATTTTATTTTATGGTTTAAAACATAAGCTAATGAAAAGGTACAAATATGAACTTTTCACCTGGAAAAAAACTTATTTAAGGTTCACAATCAGACCTTAAATCCACTGTTGTACCTTTGAGGAATATTTGCATTGTACAAAAACAATGAACGAAAAATGAACAATGAACGAAAAATGTATCTGCACAGTACATATAACACTGCATGAGTGGACTACAATATGTCATGTAAATCTGTAAGGGCATCTTATTATTCTCATTTAGTAAATAATCGATCTGCTAACCCTAAAAGGCTGTTCAGTACTACTAATAAACAGCTGTATTCCAATAATTCATCAGTCTGATCTACTCTACTACTAAACAATGTAAGACATTTCTAATGTTTTTATGGATTATTTGGACCATATCAGTGCTTCTAGTCTGCTGTGTCTGATCCACTCAAACCAGCGCAACACACACTAACACACCACTACCACGTCAGTGTTACTGCAGTGCTGAGAATGATCCACCACCCAAATAGTACCTGCTCTGTGAGGGTCCATGGGGGTCCTGACCACTGAAGAACAGGGTAAAAGGGGGCTAACAAAGTATCAGAGAAACAGATGGACTACAGTCTGTAACTGTAGAACTACAAAGTGCACCTATATAGTAAGTGGAGCTGATAAAATGGACAACGAGTGTAGAAACAAGGAGGTGGTCATAATGTTATGCCTGATCGGTGTATATATATATATATATATATACACATATTAGCCCTTCTTATCCTCCTTCAGCAACTCTTCTTAGTTTCACGACAGTAACTATGCAGTATGTCTACAAACTGATCCACTGCTTGTATTTTTGACCCTATTCCTACAAATTTCTTTTAAAAAATCTTTGCCTGTTTTCAGTCCTTTTATTACTTCTATTGTCAACTCCCCTCTTATTACTGGCTTTGTCCCATCTGAACTGAAACTAGCTTCGATCACAGCAGTTCCAAAAAATCAGGATGTGCTGCAGATGGTCTAACAGACTATCAGCTGGTTTTAACCGTTTGATTTCAGAGCTGGGCACAGTACTGAAACTGCCTTGGCGAGGGTTGTGAATGATCTCCTGGCGTCAGTTGACTCTGGAGCCATTAACATCCTTATTCTGTTAAACCTTATCGCTGCGTGTGTTAGGGTCTGTCCCACTTTCCTGTTAGACCGGGTGGAAATATGTCTGGGAGTATCTGTTACCGTACACACTTGGTTTAAATCTTACCTCCTTTCACTGTCTTCTTAATATTTTAGGTTTAGGTCAATTTGTTTACCTTCTGATGCTGAGAAACTTGTACATGCATTCATTTCATGCAGGTTGGACTACTGTTATGCTCTTTTTGCTGGTTTAACTGCAAAATCCCTTTCCAGAAGCTTCAGTATGTGCAAAACTGTGCTGCCACTTATACGTCACCTCGCGCTCATATAACGTCTGCACTGGTGGAGCTACACCGGCTTCCTGTCTATGCAAGTACTGATTTTAAAACCCTTACTTAACACACGAAGTGATTCCTGGAACAGCTCCAGTTTACCTCTGAGAACTGGTGAAGCTTTACATCCCCTCTCGTTCTTTACGCTCTGTACGTTCCGTCACTCTACAGCAGCCTCCCTGAAAACTGAAATCTAAGGCCAATACAGGTTTCTCCCGTAGAGCATCTCGATTATGGAATTTCCTACCGGATGCGATTAAGAATGCTCCTATTTCAGAATGCTTCAAAAAGTTCCTGAAAACTCATGTTTAGATAAACTTGTATGGACATTTGATATTTTGTTATATGTATGTGTATGTATGTGTATGTATGTGAATGTATGTGTATCTCACTGTTGTGGAAACAAAAACTCGTATCTCCAATTTTGTGGTTTTTCAGTTTTTGACATAATTTGAAAATACCTGTTGTCCTTTATATTGTGTGTAAATTTCATGATAAATGGACAAACAGAAACGGCCCAAAATGACTTGGAAAAAAATCTGGTTCCATTGAATTACATGAAAAGTAAAGTATGTTTTTTCCTTCTCCTGTAAAGTTACCATTTTGGAGATATGAGGTTTCGTTCTGACAACAGTG